TATAATCTGAGCTGAGACACCCAGACAAAAGGATCATTGGTCAAGGTCAGCCTATCTCAATAAATAAACAAACTGGGCTGGGTGGTTCTCAGCTACACCCCCAGCCACATTACTGATGCAGATGGGAGGATCACAGTTCTATCTGAAAAATAACTAAAGCACAAAAGGACTAGGGGTGTGATTTAAGTGGAAGTGCTTTTACAAGGTTGCAGCTCAAATCCTAGTACCATCAAGGAGGGAAAAATCTGTATAACTGTAAAATAAACTAATATTTCATATAAAGTTCTTAAAAATCTTCCTTGGTTCATAGTTATACTAAGTGCTTGATGTTATTTTTATTGCATATTTCTAAAAAGATTAGTATGTAATGAAAAATAGGCTGAAAAAAAGGACACCAAAATTCATTCTCCTCTCTCCCTCTCTTTCTTTATTTCTTTTTTCTTTCTTCTGTCCTAGAAGGCTAAGGACTGGTTAATAATAAAAGGTATGTAATAACAGGTGGCTTCTCATGTTATAGAACCATTAGAAACAGAGGTCAGCTAGTATTTTCCTTCTTTGTAAAAAATAAAATGAGAGCATAACTTAATTGAGTGCTAAAAATGACTTCTGGGTCAATTTCCAGGTTTTGTTAAGTTTGGCTCTCTGTGTTTTCTGAGTCAGATAGTTTTATAATTTGGGGTGATATGGTATAGAGAGAAAAAGGATGATGAAGCATTTCCCACTGCTTGTAGGGTATTTTGTGGCAGTGCATTTGTTACCTGTTGCTGAGCGACAGTTCCAAAACTTAGTTGTTTCAGGAACAATAGTTTATTATTTCTCGTAATTCATTGAGCTGGCTGTACTCAACCCAGGGCTGCTTCTATTTTACATGAGAACATTTTGTTTATCTCAATTTTTATCTTGGACCAGAAGAACAATGCAGTAATATGTTTTTAGAACATTTTCTGTAAATGAGATAATTAATGCATTGAAAGTTATTTCCATGATACCTGGACCTGTATATAAAGCACACAGAATCCTACCTACTGTTATTATGTATTCATAAAATATTTCAGTTTCCTAAATGCAAAATGGCTGAAATTGAAGGTTGCTACCTGTTAAGTTTATATGTTTATTTCAACAGATGTTTTCTTAGGAATCCTGAGTGAATGAATGTAAGCTAACAGTTTTTTTGTAATCACAAGTAATGAGTACTCACAATATGCCAAGATTTGGGATTACTAAAGTTTGTTGCATCTCTCTGGTAGCTATACCCTGTCAAAAGCAAAGAGAAGCCAGGTGCTGGTGGCTCAAACCTGTAATCTTAGCCACTTGAGTAGCTAGAGGCTGGGATCTGAGGATTGAGGTTCAGAGCCATATTTGGCAGGAAAGGCTGAAAGACTATCTCCACTAAACTACCAAAAAAAGCTGGAAGTGGAACTGTGGTTCAAGTGATAGAGCACTAGTGTTAAGCACAAAAGCTCAGAAACAGAGGTTCTTAAGGTCAAGCCCCAGGACACCCACACACACACATACACACACACACTCACACATACACACACACACACACACACACACACACACACACACGCACGGCACGCACACTTGCAAAGAGAAGCATGTTCTCTACTAACACCAAGAGAAGTATGGATGACTGTATGTTTTCAGGCTTATTGAGTGACAAAACCATCAGCTTGCCATCTCAGAAACTTATTTGTTCACTGCATTTGATGTGACTAGATCTGGGTTGTTCTAGTACTAACCTCACAGAGAAGCTGATATTTATAGTGTTAGGCTTCTTGTATTACCTTTGAAAAACGAACTTAGGTAGACTAGGTATTCATGTTGGTTTTGTCATTGTCTGTACGAAGGAAAACTCAAGTTGGGAGTCTATATATTATGGTCTATCTTTTCTCTCCTGCCTTCTCTACTGCCTCTCTACTACTGCAAGCACTGTACTACTAAGCCAGATCCCCAAACCAGTATTTTCTTGTTGAATGTGAAATCAGGACACCAATTCATAGTTTTATGGCATTTGCAAGGATAGTAAGGTACTATATTATAAGAATGTATTTAGTTAAAACTGGACATACTGAATTCCTGAACTGAGATACCTTTTTTCCCTAACTGGGTTGAATTTCTTTTGCTAGTAATTAAACATTTTGACCAAACCAAGTATGTAAAAATAGAGTAAAGCAAATGAAGATGGCTTTAATAGTCATCTTCTTTTGAAGTATCTGCTGTGAATATTTCTGCTACTCTAGCAGAAGTTTTATAAACTCTGTACAGTTCTGGCTACTTAAGACATTTTTATTCTAACTTCAAATTTTAAGTGTTAAGCTGTGTTTTGTATCAGTGTTTTAAGATCTTAGGGAAATAGACGTCTTTCTTCCTCTGTCTCTCAAATGGTAGGATTATAGGAGTGAGCTACCATGCCAATCTGTCTTTTTTCCCTTTGGTATATATTCTCTCTTTTCTTTTCTTTTTTCTTTTTTTTGGTTGGTCGTGGGCCTGAACCCTGAGCCTGGGCATTGTCCCTGGGATCTTCAGCTCAAGGTTAGTGCTCTACCACTTGAGCCACAGCGCCACTTCCAGCCTTTTCTGCTTATGTGGTGCTGAGGAATTTTAGGGCCTCATGCCTGCGAGGCAAGCACTCTACCTACCACTGAGCCACCTTCCCAGCTCTTCCCTTTGGTATATATTAACTGTACAAGACAATGGTTTTATATATGTATATAATTTACTTGGACCCTATTCACTCTCCCCCTCCTTTTGTGGTTTCCTTCCTTTTTCAACATAGTCTCTATTGTAAGTAATGCTGCTATAAAACACATGGAATCCTGAATATTAATTCAGGGCTAACTATCTGTTTACTCTAGTAATTGTTTTCTTTGATATGAAGAATTCCTCTTTTTTGGTGCTCATTCTGGGGCTTGAACTCAGGGCTTGGGTACTATTTCTGAGCTTTTTTGCTCAAGGCTAGTACACTGCTCCACTTCTGGCTTTGTGGTAATTAATTGGAGATAAGAGTCTTTTGGACTTTGCTGCTTTGGCTGGCTTCAAACTGCGATCCTTAGATCTCCGCTGCCTGAGTAGCTAAGGTTATAGACATGACCCACCAGTGCCTGGTCCCAAGCTTTATAATTTGAGGAAATCTCACTTGTCCATGCTGCTGCTGTTTGCTGAGAGAGTCCTATCAGAAAGTTGTTACCAATGTCTTTATCTTGAAGTGTTTCCCTTAGTAGTTTCAATGTTTCATGTCTTCCATTCTGGTATTTGATCCATTTTTGAATTTAAAAAAAATTTTTTTTGACTGGGGCTTAAATTGTTGTTGTCCCTGAGCTTCTTTTGCTCAAGGTGAGTGCTTTACCATTTGAGCCACAGGGCCACTTCCAGCTTTTTGAATAGTTTATTGGAGATAAGAGTCTCACAGAGTTTCTTGCCTAGGCAAGCTTCAAATCATGATTCCCTAGATCTCAGCCTCCTAAGTAGCTAGTATTAGAGGCATGAGCCACCAGCCCAGTGGTTTTTTGTTTTGTTTTGTTTTTGTCTTTTGAATTTTTTTATACAGGGTAAGAGATAAAAGATCCAGTCTCAGCCTTCTATATGTGGATAATCAGTTTTCTCACATCACTTTGTGTGTGTGTGTGTGTGTGTGTGTGTGTGTGTGTGTGTGTCTGTCTGTCTGTCTGTCTGTCTGTGTGTCTGTGTGTCTGTGTCGGTCATGGGGCTTGAACTCTGGGCTTGGGTGATATCTGTGTGCTCTTCAGCTCAAGGCCAGCGCTCTACTGCTTGAGCCATAGCACCACTTCCAGTTTTCTAGTGGTTTATTGGAGATGAGTCTCATGGAGTTTGCTTCCCCAGGCTGGATTTGAACTGTGATCATCAGATCTCAGCTTCCTGAGTAGCTAGGATTATAGGTGTGAGCCACCGGTGCCCAGCTTCAGCATCACTTTTTTTGGGGGGGTCCGGTCCTGGGGCCTGAACTCTGGGCCTGGGCGCTGTCCCTCAGCTCTTCAGCTCAAGGCTATCGCTCTACCACTTGAGCCACAGCGCCACTTCTGGCTTTTTTTGCTTATGTGGTGCTGAGGAATCGAACCCAGGGCCTCAGGCATGCAAGGCAAGCACTCTACTACTGAGCCACCTTCCCAGCCCCAACATCACTTTTTAAAGATACTGTCTTCAGTATATGTTTGGCATCAAGAATCAGATAGCTATAGTTGCTTGAGCCTTTTTCTGGATTCTCAATTTTATTCCATTGGTCTATGTCTGTTTTTGTGCTATTTATTTTTGGTTCTATGGCTCTATAGTATAATTTGAAATAAAGTATTGTAATTTTTCTAATGTTCTTCCCTTTGCTCAGGTTTGCTTTGCTATTTGTGATCTTTGTGCTTCCATATGAATGTTAGCTTTTTTCCTCCCTGTGGTAATGACATATTCATGATATACAGAGCCTTTTAAGCACTAAAATGCTTTTTAACTGTTTTGCTTTGACCTCTACTTTTCTCTAATGTTTAAAACAGTATATGGAACTTGATTTTTGTTTCTATTGAATGAGTAATGGGCTTTAATTATGTGAATATATATTATTAATGTTATTATTTTATTCTGACCTGCTTTTAGCTCTTTAGATATTTATTTTGTTTTCCTTTGGTTGTATCCCTAACCATCTGCTTTTCAGTTCTGTTGTTGATTCCGTAGTTGATGTATTTATTAGTAGTTTTGCCAGTTTATTTCTAATCAGCTATAGTCTGAAAGATAAGAGCTAGAGTTTTATTTTTAAGTGTTACATTAATGAAACCTTATAAAGGAAAAGGATTACAGTGAAGAGACTTCACCATCGTGATATTGTATCTTTTCACTTTCATTTTGGATTATGGTTAGGCTTCACAGTTTGAGAATGAACTTTATGTGAGTAGAAAGTGGTTCCTTTTTAAAATTTTAGAATTCTTTTAAGAATTTCAAGTGGAATCACATAATTTTTAGTGAAAACCACCTTAATTAATTTTTTTTAATTTCAGAGCTCCAGAGATTATATTGGGGTTGCCATTTTGTGAAGCCATAGACATGTGGTCATTGGGATGTGTGATTGCAGAATTGTTCCTTGGATGGCCACTCTACCCTGGAGCCTTGGAGTATGATCAGGTACTAGAACTGTCATGGTAATCTTGTTGAATTGCTAGAAAGCAAATAATATTTGGAAATGCCTGACCCTAAGGTATCCAAAATATTTACTCTTCATGAAGTACAAAACCTGAAATTTTCAGCAATAAAATGTAAACTCTTTTGGTCTACCTACCTACCTACCTACCTACCTACCTACCTACCTACCTACCTGTCTGTCTGTCTGTCTGTCTGTCTATCTATCTATCTATCTATCTATCTATCTATCTATCTATCTATCTATCTATCTATCTATCTATCTCCTAAAACATGTCATAAAATTTGGTCTAAAATTTGCATGAAATTTGGTCTTAAATCAGCAACCATTATTGATGGTAAGTATTTTACTTACTAGAACTTTGTTTTGTTTTTGGTGGGTCAAGGGCTTGAACTCTGGGCCTGGGCACTGTCCCTCAGCTCTTCAGCTCAAGGCGCTCTACTGCTTGAGCCACAGTGTCACTTCCAGTTTTCTGGTGGCTAATTAGAGATAAGAGTCTCACAGATTTTTCTGCCTGGTCTGGCTTTGAAGCTCGATCCTCAGATCTCAGCTTCCTGAGTAGCTAGGTTTACAGGCATGAGCTACCAGTGCCCAGCACTTACTAGAACTTTTATTAGTCTTTTCTGCCTTTTTAAAAATGATGCTGAAAGACTCGTTTTGTATTATTTAATGATTTTTCAGTAGGATGCAGAAATTTACCTTATAAATATACTTTTCCAACTTTTTTTTTTTTTTTTGCCAGTCCTGGGCTTGAACTCAGGGCCCAGGTGCTGTCCGTTGGCTTTTGTGCTGGAGGCTAGCGCACTACCACTTGAGCTACATTTCCACTTCCAGCTTTTGGGTAGTTAATTGGAGATTCGAGTCTCCTGCTTTCCTGGGTTGTCTTTAAACAGAGATCCTCAGATTGCAGCCACCCAAGTAGGTAGGAATACAGGTGCAAATCACTGATACCTGACCCAACATACTTTTTTTTTTTTAAATACTTTTCCAAACATACTTTTCCTTTCTAACCTGATAGACAATATTGTTATCTAGCATCTTTATTTTTTAATATAAGATTATTGTTTTGAGAAATTGTCTTCTTTATTCATTATTATTTTAATGCTTCTGTGTTTTAAAGGAAAATGTTAGTGAAAATCAACAATGTTAGGTGGGTGCACGTGGCACCATCTTCCTGACTCAGCTTCTCTCAGATGCTGGGATTATAAGTATGCGCCAGCACACTTCACTAATTTTAAGCAAGAGGGGAGGGAAAAACAAAGAAAAAGAAACACATTTTAAAACACAGGTGAAATAATCTTATAGTATGCTGTGAATTCTAATTTTCCGAGCTTAGTTTCAAGACTTAGATTTTCTTCTCTTCTTTTTTTTTTTTTGAGGCTTGAACTCTGGGCCTGGGCGTTGTCCCTGAGCTCTTCAGTTCGAGGCGAGCCCTCTACCACTTGAGCCACAGTGCCACTCCTGGTTTTCTGGTGGTTTATTGGAGATAAGAGTCTCATGAACTTTGTCCTGGTTGGGGCTGGTTTTGTACTTTGATCCTCAGATCTCAGCCTCCTGAGTAGCTAAGATTACAGGTATGAGCCACCAGCGCCCGGCCTAGATTTTCTTCTTCTTCTTCTTCTTTTTTTTTTCTTAACTTTTTTTTTTTTTTTGGTCCAGTCGTGGGGCCTGAACTCTGGGCCTAGGCGCTGTCACTCAGCTCTTCAGCTCAAGGCTAGCTCTACCACTTGAGCCACAGCGCCACTTCTGGCTTTTTTCTTTTTGCTTATGTGGTGCTGAGGAATCAAACCCAGGGCCTCAGGCATGCAAGG